TTTAGTTAGCATTCAAGCAGTTCATTTAGTTGCAAGACGTCTATCAGATACTTGCTTTGTAGAGAAAATGCGAATTTTAATCTCGGATGTACAATCGGTTGTCCATACCTTCTCGTATTATTTTGTTTATTTGACTATAACTCTGTTTCCAATATCGCTGCTTTATTACAACCCCTTTATTACAACTGATTAATAATTTTAATGTTTTTATGCATTACAGCAATATCTTCTCTCCATCTTTTTCTCTGATGCGTTCCTCCCATACAAACTGACCTTAATCAATAGATCCTTTCTTTTCTCAACTAATTACACTTTCGTTAATTGAATTTTCTTGGTTTTTTCTACCCACTGTAGTGTTGTGTTGATAAAGTTATGCCTGTATTCCGAAAATTGACCTCCGTCCCAATGTGTTCGGAACACGAAGAATAATCACTATCACAACTTGGTTTCATAAACAATTTTATTACTTTAAAGTCTCTCGCTTCCCTCGCTTGTCTCTTTCGTCTCTCTTGTCTCGCATGCCTCACTTCTCACTTCCGTTCTCTGCTCTCTCTACTTCCGTTACTTATCGTCCCCAAAGTACCCGAATGTACAATTAAACCCAACACAACTTTAACATAATTTGCAACACCCTCCCCCACATGTGACTACGAATGAGTCACATGTTATATCACTTTGTCTCGAAGTTTATTTCATTCCTGTTCCATTAGCTCCTGATTTATCGCCTCCGCAACCACAGCAGCTTGTCGTCTTGGTCTGAATTCTTCGGCGTTCACTCGCAACTTCTTTTGATGGTTGCTGACGTCGCATTGTAATTCTAAAGGATAGATCAGTTGGATTGGTCTCTCAAGAGATATTTTTCCACACTGAAGTTTGACTCTCTCACAACTCCATCCCTTCCACGGATCAACATCGTTACCTTTCCGATCTTCCACATATTTCTGTTTTCTCATCACCCTTAATTAAAACGATATCTCCTCTTTCGGATGAGATTCGGTTGCTGATTTGTTAACTTGATTGCGTTGGCGTAGACTTGTTAAATATTCTCGCTGCCATCTGTTCCACAATTGGGTTTTGATTTTGTGCAAATACTTTGCTCGCTTCCGTAATTCACCGTCCTTAATGTGATGACTCTCCACCTCAGGGATGACATTCGTCTGTTGCAGTACGAACGAAGATGGCGTCAGTACGGGAGTTCAACATCATCCTCTACATAGCTCAATGGTCGATTGTTCATACAAATTTCTACGTCCAGAACAACTTCTGCCAGTTCATCGAATTTCAGAAGTCCTTTACCAACGACTTTGTAAAATGATGATTTGAATACACCGATCAATCGCTCAAATTGGCCTCCCCACCAGGGTGCGCGGGACAGATTGAATCTCCATTTAATGCTATGTTTACTGAGCTCGCTGAAACCTCTCGTCTTGCATTGCTCTCTTTAACCATGCTGCTGCAGCTTGGAACGTTTTGCATTGTCCGAATAGATCAGCGAAGGACGACTCGCCTTGCTATGAGCCGTTTTAGACTTTGCAGGAAGAAGTTGTCTCAAGACTCTTCAACAATTCAAGATATACTCCTCGCGTCAAACTACAGGAAAAGAGCACTAGATAGGCTTTTCCTTCTTGATTTTCTTGACTTTATACTTAATCGGACCGGCAAAATCCACACCAATGACTTTATACGGTGTGTTTCCTTCTGTTCGAGTCTTTGGTAAAGGAGCAGGTATTGGAGCTTGATACGGTTTCGTCGTGAATCTCTTGCATCTGTAGCATCTCTTCCTTTGCTTTTTGACTAGCCGACGAAGCCGAGGAACCCAATAATTTTCTCGGACCTTTGCCATCGTAAGTATAACTCCCCTATGGAGTGTTTCCAAGTGTGCATCTTCCACTAACTTCACGGTGAATAGAGCGTCATCAGGCAAGTAAATAGGGAACTCTCCTTGTATCCGACCTTGACATCTTAAAATCTCGTCATCGTCGGGTTGTACATTTAACTGAATCAGATCCGTTTGAGACTTTGGGTTTCTGCGACTCCGGCTTGTACCATTTTATCCATGACATGTGTTGCTCTTCCACTTCTTCAGATGTCAGTGGCCCGTGCTTTCTATTATCTCTGTTTTGTCGAGCATTATCAATAAATCGTTTCACCCACGCCCCAATACGAATCGCCTTCCGCAATGGATGTTTTTCAAGAATATCACTGAATATTGCAAGTCTGACCGCTGGATAGCCGTGCTCAAAACTACTCTCGTCGCCTTTGCTTCACTTTGGGAGTCAGTCGACGGTTTGACTATAAGATCTGGTGGCCAAAGACTACGCTCTGATAGCCAGGCAGGACCTTTCATCCACATCTCGGTCAGTTTGCCACCTCTGCTTCCGAGGTCGGCCGGATTGTCGGTTGTTGGCACATGATGCCACACGATCTCATTAGAAGCTCGGATTTTTGCCACTCGATGCGACACGAATTGTTTATAATCACCCTCTCCTTTAATCCACCATAAAGCTACAGTACTATCTGACCAGCAGTGTTTTCTGTGTGGAATGTGTCTCAGCGCATTGCTAGCATTCGAGACCAAATTTGCGGCCATATGACTTGCAACAAGCTCTAACCTCGGGATAGTCAGTCCTCTTTTGGCAAGTCTTGATTTCGCTGCCAGTAATTCCTGAGTAACTCCAGATGGTTGTTTAGCGACTGTGTAGACGACTGCGCACAAACCTTCACCGCTGGCATCCCCAAATCCATGAATCTCTAAGCTACAGACGGGTTCTTGGAACGACAGAACCGCTCTTGGCACGGTCACTTCGCTTGGTAAGGTGTTTTCCCACTTCTCCCAACTCTGCTTCAATTTACCAATCAATTCTGCGTCCCAGGGTAATTTCAGGTCACACACCTCTCGATAGATTTGTTTGCCTTGCAAAAGCAGAGGGGATGCAATTCCTATTGGATCATAGATCTTCGCCAGTCGACTTAAAATGTTGCGCTTCGTTGGCGATTTCCCACAATGTCCTATTTGTACACTTAATGTATCTTTCTCTTTATTCCACGTTGTACCCAGGATCTTCGTCTCAGTTGGCTGCACCCCAAATTGTTGTTTGGCCGCTGTTTGCTCTTCATGATTTTCGTTAACACTACCTTCTTCCAACTCCTTTGCATTTGATGCCCACTTATGAAGGGTAAAGGTTGCGTCACCCAGAATGTCAATAGCTTCCAATTTCCTTTTTTGTGCTTCCTCCACAGTGCATCCTCCTGAAATGATGTCATCAACGTACAGACACCTTCTCAGAGCCTCAACTGCGTCTGGAACTTTGCTTTTCCAGTGATCCAAATGTGTTTCGAGAATTCCCCCAAGTAGGAATGGAGAAGAAACCAATCCATACTCTCGTGAACCGCAGTACTTCTACATCAGCTTGTGGATTTGGTCGCCAGTGAAATCGTAAAGAATCCCGTTCACTTTCGCGTACTCGA